ATGTGAATTATATTTTTTAGTCTTTTCTACCCCTATTTCATATATAATTTTTATGTATGCTAAGTAGCGGAGCTCCTCGCGAGGTAGTGATAACCGGAATACCCCTTGCGTTCATGCAATTGACTGTCAATTTAAAAGAGCGACGAGCTCCGCATATAGATAAGAACGTTTGCGAAGAAGTGCGCCGTCATTTCAAATTTCAAGAAGATAGCTATAGTGACAAATCACTTTACGACATTTATATCTGATCACTTACAATTTATATAAGTTCACCGTGGGGTACGTGTAGTAGCCAGTCATATAATCACGCTGATAATGTGTGCATCTCAATGCCAGATCTACCGAGTTAACCGTGTCTAATAATTTAATTAAACGACAATTAACCAAAGTTATTATAATAATGTAATTAACGCTGTTTCTCCTCGCGTCATTGAGATTACTTTAACGATCAAGTGTGGATATCGTTTCATCAATCCGAAACAGAAACTGCCGACAACCAGAATTTAATCAGAGACGTCTTCTTCTTGTACAACGAATCTGGAGATTGATCCCGTCGCGATGGAGTCATCTACTTTGCTTCTGACTATTCTGACAGCGAGTATTTGCTTATATTATTTTGTTCTAAGAAAGCTATCTTACTTCGAGCGACTGAAGATCCCGCATGTGAAACCGGTTCCATTATTGGGCAACATGGCACCTTTTATTTTTCAACGCACATCCCATATGGAGCATATACAAAGATTCTACAATCTCTTCTCGGACGCAAAATACTTCGGTCTCTACGATTTTATAACACCGACCTTCGTTATCCGTGATCCAGAGTTGATTTCCACGATTGCCATCAAAAAGTTCGACAACTTCTGTGATCACAATCACTTCGTGAACAAAATTCTTGATCCGATAGCCGGTAGAAATCTGTTTGACCTGAAAGGAGATCACTGGCGCGAGATGCGAAAACTTCTTAGCCCTAGTTTCACATCCAGTAAGATGAAGACGATGTTCGGACTCATAAGTCAGTGCGCCGAGAACTTCGTCGATTTTGTGACAACGCAATCCGGAAAAACCGGCAAAACGTATGATATGAAAGACATACTGGGCAGATACGCCACCGACACAGTGGCCACATGTGCCTTCGGCATCAGCGTGGATTCTTTTAAGCATCCGAACAACGAGTTCTTCTTGCTTGCCAAGAAGGCAATGACTATTGACAACTGGCTGGCCTTCAAGTCCTTCATGCATAGAAACTTCCCGCTACTTGCAAGACTCCTCAATCTCAAAATGTTTGGCCCAGAGATAGAGAATTTTTTCAAAGATATCGTTTCCAACACAGTAAATGTCAGGGATGAGAAGGGAATTGTTCGTCCAGACATGATTCAGTTGATGATGGAGACTAGAAACAAAAATAGCGGACCTGCGTTCGAAATTGACGAAATGACCGCCCAGGCGTTTGTTTTCTTTCTCGCCGGATTCGACACTACTTCGTTAACCATGTGTTTTATAACGCACCAACTCGCTGTCAATCCTGATATTCAGAGCAAATTAAGAGAGGAAATTGATGACGTTCTCAGACAGACCAACGGTAAACCTACCTATGAGGCCATCAATCACATGAAGTACTTAGACGCCGTGATAAACGAAACTCTCAGATTATATTCGCCAGCATCTTTCATAGACAGAAAATGTGTCAAAGAGACCAAATTGCCACCAGCGACTTCAGATGGCGAACCGATTACTATAAAGCCTGGAGACAGCATATGGTTTCCATCTTTCTCTCTGCATCGCGATCCAAAGTACTATCCGCAGCCAGACAAGTTCGATCCAGAAAGATTCCTCAACGGTGATGTGGATAATTCGGTCTACATACCATTTGGTATCGGGCCTAGAATCTGCATTGGTAATAGATTCGCCCTAATGGAAGCAAAAATTATGCTGGTCCACCTGCTTTGCCGCTGCGATCTCGAGCCCGATGTTAAAACTGCAAATCCCATCGTGTTGACAAAGAAATCATTAGCCATGCTACCGGACAAGGGCTTCTGGTTGAAATTGCGAGCAAGAGAATCGAAAATTTCTGTTACACAAGGCTTGTCGAACGGACACGGAGTTGAGGGACAGTGATGAAGCATATTTACAATTCACCAAGCATAAAATTATATACTTAAAGTTGCTCTTTCTAATTTGTAGCTAAATTCCAATCTCTTCCTCAATTATATATTATGTATAAAAAAATAGAAATTTCAGAAAATTGTTTCTTAAATACCGTTACTTGTTATATGACTTCATAAATGGTTATATTAAAGTATTTGAAAATTATGTACAAAACTTATTTGACTTATACATATATGTATTTTTTAATTATGTAATACACTTCTATATACTTATGTAATATACGCATATGTATTAATAAGATAATATTTAAATAATTTAACGCGAACATCTTGTTGCGGCTCTGTGGCCTCTCTCTTTCGTTATATGTATATATATTTGATTTCTAATCAAAATTGAGCTTATCACGATTATTAATATACTTCTGTACATGCTGGACAGTAGAATGATTACTTATCATTAAAATAGCGATAAAATTAATTATTTAAAAATTGTTTTTTTTTGCCAAATAAAATAAATTTTTGTAAACAATTACACTCTCGTTAAAGTACGAATACAGTATTTATCAGCGATTGTCTTTTTATTGCATAGATATTTTAATTGTTTTTATTATTTATTATTTTGCACATAATTTTGAGATATATAAAAGAGAAGCATGTATAATAGGAATAGCATGTGATAACTGATAATGCAAGCATGCGATAATACAATATGACAGATGTTATGCAATATTATGCAATACTATGTAGCATTATGTAATATTATGCGATACAATATGTATCTTATTTTCTTAATTTTATTTTATTACTATTTATACAATTTTTTCACGTCAATAAATTTTCGAATTCTACCTTTAATTCTAACGTTTCATACAAATAAATAGTGCGTATTACAATATAAAAGTATAAAATTAGATATATGTTGTTTACAATATAATGTAATACAATACAAATTTAAAATTCTATTCAAAATACACGTAAAAAATAACATTATTAATAATATAATCCAAAAATTTTAATAATGCGAGATTATATGCAATCGTCTAAAATACTTATACTAACACGAATTTTACTAGACCTAGCTGTTGCTCATATACTGATAGATGACGATAAATTAAATCATATTTGTAATTGTTAATTTGCGATTCAGTTTGCAATTTATCAAGTTTTATCGTATGTAAGCAAACATGACCAAAAAAGTTAATAAATTTATTTATTATGTTTCTTAATCGTTCAAGTATTGGAAAATTCTATAAAGTTTTCTGCAAAAATGTACAATGCACGATAAGAAGATAAGCTTTAAGATAAGCCAATGATGAAATTAATAAGATAAACCGCGATAAAAAACTGGCCAAGGGAACAAATCGATTGATAATATTCGCGATACTAATTCTCGAAAAAGATGTGAAAAGAGTTAACCGATGAAACGTTTTAGAATAGCTATCAGCGAGAAAAGCGGAGCTTTCACACATCTCGAGAAATGTCATTATGTTATTAACAATGCTATGTGTTTTTTAATGTAAAAAGCATATGCTTCTTTTAATAAATTCAACAATAAAAAGCTTGAATGAATGTTGTTGCATAATAGTGGTTGACAAAAAAGATAAAGCGCTAAACTCCGATGCACGATTATTTTTAATTTGTAGCGTTTTCGATTTGTTGACTCGACCCGACTCGGGTCAACTTGGGTCAGATTAAAAGTTCTGAAAAATGATAATAAAATATGATAATATGCTACGATAATGTTAAAATCTTTGATGAAGGTCAAGAAACGCTTGCTGCCATGATAGTTTAGTCATCGAGTTTCAAACCGAAATTCGGATCTGACCCGAGTCGGGTCGAGTCGACAAATTAACGCTATGTTAAGTGTAATATTTGTTAAAGTGACAAATACATGATCAATTTGAACAACTTTATTTGTATTCTCAAATATTCATTTATATATACTTGTAATAAATTGGCAATAATGGTAAATTATATAAATTATTTATGAGAAAAAAAAGTATATTTTTTAAATATATATTTAACACAATTGCTATCAATAAAAACTGATACAAAAATAGAATTCTATAACTATAAAAAAAAAGACTTGTATGTTTATATACCTATAATAATGCCATATTATAAAAAGAAACATTGATTTATATTATTGCTGTATTTTGGCTATATTTTTAGATCTGTATATTTAAACAGAATAATGAATTTTCTTCGCCAGTATATAGAATAACAAATAAGCAACTTAATCGACTAACTGTCAATATATAACATCTCTTCGATGTGACTATATATTTAATATATTAATTTTAAGGGACGTTATTATAAGAAATTGTGTGGTTGAAAATAAAGAAATCAATTTATAATTTGTAATAAACATAACAACAACTGCTAATAATCTTATTTGTATTTGCTAAATTACTGTCCTTTTGTTTATGAGTCACGATAAAATAAAAAATATACCTACAAAATATAAAGTTATAAAGAAGATATAAAGAACAAAAATAAAAGAGAAATAAAAATAAACTCATATAGAGCTTTTATCGTTTATCCTATATTCAATATATTGAATCGAGTAAAAATACGCGATTACAATTACGACCCAGATAACATGCATGTTGCATAAGACGTCGTAAAGATATCTTAAAGATATCTTAAGATATCTTAGTTGTCTTAAAAATGTCTTTACGACGTCTTATGCAACATGCATGTTATCTGGGTAGTTATTAGAAAAAGAATCGTATCTCTCTATTGTCTTATTCAAAACTGTTAAACAATAATGACATTATTGCTAAAATAAAAAGCCTTTAACCCAGTTTATTCTAAAAAACGACATATTGTGCAAGCTTCACATGATAAAAATACGTTTGCGAAAATACGGTTGCGGCGTTATTTCAAGGATATAGTCAATGTGACTTTACATCTTTCATATCTGCACACTTAGAGTGTTATCAATGTTATATAATTCATTGTGGCGTACGTGTGAGAGTCAGTCATAAAATCTCATGCGTAGTACGTGCGTGCATCTCTTCGCCAGATCTATCAAGTTAACTATTTCCAATTAGACAGAATTTCTAACTACAATTAAGAAAGCTATAGTACGATAATATAACTTGTGCTTCTTCTTCTCGTGTCATCAACATTAACGATCAAGTGTAGAAACCGTTTCATCGATCCAAAACGAAAACTGTCGAAAACCAAAACTTAATCATCAAAAACGTCTTCTTATTGTGCAACTAATCTGGAGATTTTTGTCACAATGGAGCCATCTACTTTGCTTTTGACTATTCTGACAGCGAGTATTTGCTTATATTATTTTGTTCTAAGAAAGCTATCTTACTTCGAGCGACTGAAGATTCCGCATGTAAAACCGATTCCAATATTGGGGAACATGGCACCATTTGTTTTTCAACGTACATCCCATATAGAGCTTCTACAAAAAATATACAATCTCTTTCCGAACGCAAAATACTTCGGCATCTTCGATTTTGCAACACCGGTCTTCGTTATCCGTGATCCAGAACTGATTTCTACGATTACCATAAAAAAATTCGACAACTTCTGTGATCGTAATAGCTTTGTGAACAAAAATCTTGATCCAATGGCCAGTAAAAATCTGTCTGACCTGAAAGGGGATCACTGGCGCGAGATGCGAAAGCTTCTTAGTCCTAGTTTTACATCCAGCAAGATGAAGATGATGTTCGAACTTATAAGTCAGTGCGCCGAGAACTTCGTCGATTTTGTGACAACGCAATCCGGAAAAACCGGCAAGACGTATGATATGAAAGACATACTGGGCAGATACGCCACCGACACAGTGGCCACGTGTGCCTTCGGCATCAGCGTGGATTCTTTTAAGCATCCGAACAACGAGTTCTTCTTGCTTGCCAAGAAAGCACTGACTTTTGACAAGTGGCTGGTCTGCAAGTTCTTCCTGCATAGAAACTTCTCGCTACTGGCAAGACTCCTCAATCTCAAAATGTTTGGCCCAGAGATAGAGAAATTTTTCAAAGATATCGTTTCCAACACAGTGAAGGTCAGGGATGAGCAGGGAATTGTTCGTCCGGACATGATTCAGTTAATGATGGAGACTAGAAACAAAGATAGCGGACCTGAGTTCGACATTGACGAAATGACCGCTCAGGCATTCGTTTTCTTTCTCGCTGGATTCGATACTACATCAACAGCCATGAGTTTTATGACGCACGTACTCGCTGTGAATCCCGATATTCAAAGCAAGTTAAGAGAGGAAATTGATGATGTTCTCAGACAGACCAACGGCAAACCTACCTATGAGGCCATCAGTCACATGAAGTACTTAGACGCCGTGGTAAACGAAACTCTCAGATTATATACGCCAGCATCTTTCTTGGACAGAAAATGTGTCAAGGAGACCAAATTGCCAGCAGCGACTTCAGATGGAGAACCGATTACGATGAAGCCTGGAGACAACATATGGGTCCCCGTTTTCTCTCTGCATCGCGATCCAAAGTATTATCCGCAGCCAGAAAAATTCGATCCAGAAAGATTTCTTAAGGGTGATGTGGATAATTCGGTCTTTATCCCATTTGGTATCGGACCAAGAATGTGCATTGGTAATAGATTCGCATTAATGGAAGCAAAAGTTATGCTGGTCTATCTACTTTCACGTTGCGATCTTGAACCCGATGTTAAAACCAGAATTCCTATGGTGTTGGCAAAATCAGCTGTCATGATGCCGGACAATGGCTTCTGGTTGAAATTGCGAGCAAGAGAATCGAAAACTCGGATTAAGGTAGTTCTCCGGCTCCAGTAGTGCTCAACTTGTATTTCATGTTTAAAAAGAAAAATTTATTTTGCTAAAGTTAATTAATTGTTTATATACAAAATATTAGATATAACAACTAAAAATTAAGAAGTTAACTTCACGCGTGAGAACTCATGCGGCGTTGCCAAGTAATTGACGCCTTTCCTCTTCTGTCACTCTGAACCGAGCGAAAAATTCATCAAATCTTTACACAAGTATTTCTCGAAAACGAGTACCGCAAAGGTATTGACACTTAATTGCATATTATTTCTATTTTTATGGAGCATCATAGACTAATTTTTCAAAAACATTTGGAGAAAACTTTTTTCACAATTCATTATAATGTCTCTTTTACAATAGCTCGGAATAGAAATTACATGTTAAAAGTTAAAACTTTGAAACTTTGAAACTTAGTATTTTGATTTTTAATACCGCAAGGGGTATTGAAATTTATACCATCGCATAAAGCACACCTAAATTAATGTATATTCACAGTTTTAAAAAAATCTAGAGAAAATCGATTTTCTCTAGTATAAGGACCGGAGAACTACCTTAAGCAATCGAACGGACAGGGAGTTCGAGGGACAGTAATAAAGCATATTTACAATTCATTAATCATGGAATTATGTACTTAATGTTGCTCTTTCAAATTGTAGCAGGAGTCCAATCTTTCCCTCAATTATACGTAGAGAATAAAAGTTTCAGAAAACTATCTTTATGTGAATACCGTTACTTTTTAAAAAATCTTCCCACATTGAGTATGTTCCTATGGAGCATAGTAATTGTAATAGTACTAATATAAAAATACAATATCTTTTATGTTGTATTTGTTTATATGTAAGTCAAATAAGTTTTGTACGTAATAATGAATAAAAATGTAATAACCAACTTATTATTCAACTTATAACATGATTTCACAAATGATTATACGATTTAAAGTATTTGAAAATTACGTACAAAATTTATTTAATTTATACACATATGTAATTTTCAATTATGTAATACACATATGTATTAAGATAATATTTGAATAATTATCTTTTTCTTGAAATATGTTTTTTAAATTAATAATAAACAAAAAATATAGTAATATTCGATTGAAAAAGAGATAAAGAAGAGAAAGAAAAAAAAAGAAAGTGAAAGAAAGAGCAAAAAAGAGAAGGTATGTGAGAGAAAATTAAGATTAAAATTATTATAATATTATATATGTACAGGAGAATATTAATATATACAGGATGTGATTAACTAATTTTATGAATATATAAATATTTCATCTCTTGTTCTCTATCTATCTTTATCTATCTATCTATATATCTATCTGCCTGTCTCTCCCTCTCTCTCTCTCTCTCTCTCTCTTCAAGTAAAAAGTACCTACACAAAACGTAAATCCACTAATAAGACTGAAATTCATCGGTTCTTTACATATCAGGTTGACGCGTATTAATTTAATCGAATCGAATTGTATAATATAATTGAAGCGTCAAAATAGATAGAGATTTCGAGAGATTTTTTGTCATGAAGAGATTTCATATCCGGATAGCCAAAGTCAATGTATTTTACAAGTTATAATGGCCAATAGAGTCGATTAATATTTCTACTTGTTATTATTTGATTGGCGAAGAAAATGTAATTTACTCGGTATTTTAAAAGTGTCTGCTACAAATTTTATCGATAGAATGTTAGTAGAAATATAACAAAATCTTAATAAATTAATAAAAAATATTGACAGATTGGTTGTAGAAACTGAATAGAAACTGAAGTTTCGTAACCATTTAAATGGTGTATTTTATTTAAATGTTTAAGAAATGACAAGATTTATTTGGTTTCTGCCGACAATTTAATTGCTATCAGATTATATACCGGCAGGTTTTGTCGGTAAAACACGGGTTTAATACGGACACAGATATGATACCAGATCAGTTCTTCTGTAATTGCAATATCAGATTTTGGTATAAACTGTATAAAGTTCATAAGGATCACGCACTTTAGTTCAATTATCGGCCACTTGGTGTCTATCGCCTTTTATCTTTGCGATTGTTAAGTTAATTACAACAATTACATTACACTTAGGTATATTAGAATTTTTAATAATCTTGTAAAAATCTTGCAAAATAATTGCATAACTTAAATTCTTCAATGTTAATTAAAATTTATTATTAAGTTTAATTTCACTATTAGCTCTATTTCGGAAAAATTCATAATGCATCGTTCTCGATAGCGATTGTTTTTATTATGATTCTTATATAAGGATAGGACATAGATGGATACTTCGAATCTTAGGCAGTGTTCATAATTCGATCTTGTATGTACTTAAGATCGTTCTTATAGCTCGAAATGCTGTAAGGGTCATTTCATTTGCAAGGGGGGGGGGGGGCTACGTCCATGGAGTCTTAAGACTGCACAGACATCCGGAAGGTCTTGAATACACGATCGGGCTGTGAATATAATTGGTTCTGAAGATCTCCTTGTCTGATACTGGTCAGGAAAGCACTTTATCTTTACCTACTTCCATATAATGAATGTTCCTCTATAATATTAATGACTACGAGTTACCATTCATTAATTGTTGCGCTTGATTAAGTGATCTCGCCGATCTTGCCTGGTTTGGTTCTGTACTTGGACCATAACCAACATACTTGCTCAACAATTATTGCTGTGAATTAGGAAACTGTTTGCTTATTCGAATTCGAGCTATTTAGCGCTTCGAATGTTTCGAAGAGTTCGATTAATCAATGAGATCCAGAAACCTTCGAAACACTTATTCCGCCAAATAAACAGTAAATAAACGTGTCAGTTTGGATTTTTAAATAAGAGCACAGATTGACACCTTGAATTTCAATTTAAAAAAGTTGATCAGCCTTAACACTCCAGTACATACGATCTTGTCACCGTTGCGATTGATTTCAATATTGGTTGAACCGATTATGTATCGATCACAATTGGACAGAGATATTGTGAGAGAGAAAATCGATCACAATTCTACTGTTGACATCGAGCAATTGTGCATTGATCTCAATTGTATTTGATCTTGATTGTGCTCAATCACAATGCTGCTTGATCTACTTATTTGAACTTCACCACCGCTTTGAGCAGCAATTCAATATACATTAAGGGGATGCTGTAGTGACAGTAATTATGACCGCCATACTGCCACTACAGCATTTCCGTAATTGCAAATTGAATGAATAAACAGTTTCCTTGTTCCAGTTAAACATAGTCCTTCCATATCTAGTCCTAAATATAGTCAAATTAATTTAGGTTTAGGATTAACGGCGTCGGGAGATGGTTAGATTTAGGTGCTTCAGGTATATTGTACTCACTGAACCATAGTAACGTTGACTATTTTTTTTACAAAAACTATTTTTAATTTTTTAACATTAGGTATAATAAATAGGAAACATTCTAATCATTAAATTCGTGTTTGGCCGATATGTAGAGCCTGCCGATATAATCTGACAGCAGATTGTTGGCAGAAACCGAGCAAAATCTGTTCATTATTTAAACATTTAAATGAAATACAGCATTAAAAATTTAAATGGTAGATTTTGTTCACTTTCTACGATCAAGCTGCCATTATATTCTTTTAGCGAAATCTGTTTATTTCTGCTAGCATTCTATCGACAACATTTGCGGATATTTTCAAAATCTATTCTTGACAGATTTGGCTATGTAGAAATAATTATGTTTATGAAATGATAAATTCTGTTCAATTTTTGCCGACAGTCTGCTGTCAGATTACGACGGGCACACTCTTCCAGCACAAGACACGAGTTTAATGCAGACAGAGATGATACCGGATCTGTCTTGCGATATCTGAACAAATATTTGCTATCAGCCTGTAGTAATTATATTGCAGGCAGTTTGTTTATTACTGGGATAGTGTCGTTTGTTAAGTTTTAATCGCTGATTAAGAGGGAGGGTGCAATTGTGAAATTATTTTACAAAACTGCTCATATTTCTTTTTTTCATTATTAAATCAACATATTCGAATCATTGAATCATTCCTCATTCTTTTTCTTGTCATTAAGTCAATGTATTCAAATCATTAAACAAATTTTTTTCTTCATATGATTGACTACAATTTCGATTTACGTGAAAAAATTCTATGATCGTATTTAAAAAAATATAATAATACGGTTGTATATGTATATCTTGCAGATACATCGACTTGTATGTCTGTAAAAAAAAATATTGCAGGATCTTATCAAAAATCTCTATCATTTTTTCTTATATATAAAAGAGAACTAAACCCGTCTCGGTCGTTAACACAAGTATAATCATTTTTTATCTCGACCAAAGTCAACATAAATTCCAACAAAAGCACCTTAATAATTTCTATAATTTAAAACAATTAAGAAATTTGAAATTCCTCATTCTCCGAGTTGGTTATTCCTATATAATTAAAATAAAATCACCCCGCTTAGAATACTTCGCGTGCTCGCGCGCGAAACTGCCGTCGCCGACGAAGGTTTCCGTTTCCCGGACGACGGAAGGCACCGCGGGAACACAACAATCGGCCGAGCCGACCGACCCGCCGTGGACCGTGGACGACGCCTTTGTATTGCCGAGGATGTCGTTCGTCGAACAGCCGTCGCTCGGGCGAGAGATCGCGGTACCGGCCAGGCTGCCGATGATCCTGAAGCAGTTCTGCAAGGCCGCCATCCGCACGCAGCCTTACGACCTGCTCAAGTGGTCCGGCTCGTACTTCCGCGCGCTGGCCGACGGCGAAGAGCCGCCGGTCAAGCCGCGGCTCGAGTACCCGTCGTCGAGCACGGCCTCCGGTTTGACTGTGGGCTTCCTCAGGGTACTGCTGCGGCAGTTTGGAAGTACGCGAGTGGCCACCGAGAAGACAAGGCTTCGACCGGGGTATCTTTTCAACAAGCACCAATTAACAGTGATATTACGTCAATACCCTGAAGAAAAAAATTTCTCATATTTTCTCAGAAATTTTGTAAGAATTAAGACTTGAAAAATTCTTAAAAATATATATAATTTCTCTCTCTGAGATGCTTTCAGAAATAATTGGATGAGGCTTTTCGGAATATTTCAGTTGCCATATGTATGAAAATTTCTTAATTACACAGATTTTCTCATATTTATTATTTTTTTCACAAAGAACGTTAGCGGAGAAATCTGAAGTATTTTATTCTTATTAATTTTGTCTGAGTTCTTTCGAAAAATGTTCTAATTCATATTAAAAAATCTGAAAAATTCTGAGCAAAGTCTGAAAATTTTTATAGAAATTCTGATTAATAACATGAAAAATTCTGAGATATTTTTCCACCAAGGTATTATAATTTTCCACTTTGTGAAATATATGTATAATATAACACATGTTGCACAACAGTTGAGTAGGAAATTATAATATTGATATAATGTCACTGTTGGTTGGTGTTTGCTGCGTTTCTGCATGATAATCTAGTATGATGATAATCCTTTCCAGATTACAACAAGACGCTGCCGGTCGAAACGATCTCGCGTCGCTGGGACTGCCTCTGCCTGGACCGTAGGGACCTCGACACGATCCTCGCGATTGGAAGATTTCGTCGCACCTGCCAGGTGAAGAAGTTCCTCGCTATAGCGGTGGGCCTGCTCGGCGCCAGTCTCACCGAGACGATGATCACGGTCTGCCAATTATTCAGTCACGAGCCGGACGGCGGATCCGCGATGATCCCTCTCACCTTGTTTATGGAGATATACGAGTAAAGCTCGGCATATAGCGATGCCTCAACTCTTTCTCCAGTTTTTGCTATTATATTGATTGCGATTGTCCGAATAACACGTTGTCCAAAATGAATAGGTATTTAGCGGGACTCGCGTGCGACGGCAACGAGAAAGACACGGTTGATCAAAATACAACGGAGCGTACCGCGTGTAAGGATGAGAGCTCCGTCGATCGTACCTGCTCTATAAACAGCCAAGACACCGACGTGGACATTAATTCGGAATTGATATCCAAGGACGAGGTCGATCTGTCAAAGAGTGCGTTACTCTCCTCTGATGGAAATATTTTTCGCTGAAAGTACTATGAAATCAACGAAAAGGGAAATGAAAGTTGTTGAAAAATTACTGAATATATTTCAAAATAAATCATAATTTTCCTTATGAAATGTAATGTAATACTGTAAAATATAAGGAAAGTTGAATTATATACTATTAAAAAGTAATACAAAATTTTTTGAAATATTATTTTACTAAATTGAACTAAAAACTGAATTTTTACTGAAATTTCAATGGAATAATAATGAAATGGGGTTGAGAGAGAGAGAGAATTTCAAATACGTTTCAGTAAAATTTTATTATTATATTTTCAGTAAAATATTTCCATCAGGGCCAACTGTTACGTTATTACGTAGCTCGCGCTCGTTGAGCGTACTTTACCCATTTAAATTCCTCCTGTTCAATTTCCTCTTGTAGCCGATTTGTCGGAGCTGATAGATAATAGTTCACTCGAAAAGGAAGCTACTAATTATGAAGAAAAGAGGGATGAATCTTCGACTAGTCCAAAAGGCAACGCCTTGACAGGCAAAGATCGCGCGGATTACAATGTAACGATCGGTAGGAAATTCTGCGGAGTGAAAGATGCCAATGACGAAAGTCTATCTTCTGAAATAGAGAAGGCTACGAAAGTTACGTGTTATCCGAATGTGCCAGGTAACCAAGCATTCTCTTATATATATCTTAACCGTAGAGATGTGCGAATCAAGGGTTTTGATATCGAATCGAATCGAATTTCATTTCTTCTTTCGAATTTCAATTAAATCGTTGAAATATAATTTTTAATTAACAACATAATTTATTATTAGATTAAATTTTACACGTAAATAATAAGAGGATATTTTAAAGTGGAAAAATAATATTGATTACATAAATTCTTTTTAAAGCAAAAAACATATTTAAATATTTAATATGAAACTAATAAAGTATATTTTATTTAATGTCACAGTAACTAAAACAATTAGGCAAAAAATCATAGATAAATTATTAAAATACTCTAATCTAGCATCCAATAATATTATCCAATTACATTCATAGAAATTAAAATAAAATAATAGTTTATTTATTATCAATACTCATAGCCTACTATTTTTTATACATATTCAAACTTTTACTTACAATTTGATAGAATCAAAAGACATGTCAAAAATTGGAAATAAACTTTTTGACTACTTCTAGCCGCTCAGCGGTGAGCGGTTAGTGCTGGTCTACAACCTTCCTTTAAGGGTATTCAAGCTCTAAGCCGTAAACGTTATAATATATGATTTTATAAAATTGACAATATGTATGATAAAACTCACCCGATTCGATTCGATTCGTATTCGAATAGTTCACACATCTCTTCGAACTTAACCGTTCGAATGTCGTAGGTGATCATAATACGAAAAATGCGGCGCGTTCGCGCCTCTCTTACACGTCGAAAAACGTAGATATTATAAGTAAAAATAAAACTTACCATACTTTTTTAATTTTTTTAAAAATAAATTAAAAGAAAACACTTCGATTGATAATGCCTAATCAGATTCTGAGAATCGCGGTAGAACCTGAGCGTATTATCAGCACGCTTGCCGAAGTCTTTCAACACGAAAAAGTAAGCAGTGCGGTCGCGCTGCGGGCACTCGAACGGTCAATAATCCGCTAACTTGTCCATTGGAATCTGTACACAATTGAAATGTAGGTATAGGACCTCGTATACCAGCCGAGCGAGTTGCGAGCGTAACAGCGTGGATGCTCGAGTGCGCGAGGCTGCAGGAGGGTATGGTCGGACCGCGAAATATTCGACATACGAGCTGCCCGCTTTTGCACGAACGATCGACGTCAAAGTGATAATGCCTCGTTATTTCGTAATAATAAATACGGAGAATGCCATCATGCAACGTGTACTTAACTCGCGGGACTAAAATCTTCGATCTTCAGACATACCTGTCATTCGCACGACCTTAATTAAATATTCCATTATATATAAATCATATGTCAAACTTTTTATTAAAATGCGATTATAAAAAGTGTTTATTGTATCACAGATATATCGTTATCTGATTTTAGAATATGTCGAATCAAAAAATTCTTACAGATCTTCCGACGAATGTTTTTAAATTATAAATTTAACATTGCGTATTATATCGATAGTTAATATTGTTAGTTCCATCGTGCAGCTGTACGTGGATTGATAGTTTGGCTTTATTATTAATTCTTCACGCTAGAAACGTAGATAATTCTCGAGTTCTGCACAATCTGCGCATGTGATGGTAGAGTACGTGATAAAATGTAAACATAAAGAGCAACGCCAGAAGGCACAATAGTAGGTTTCTAGCTTTCGCACGACTTGCTCGCCATTCAAGAAGTTCGTGTAGGTGGGAAAAACGATTTCGATATTGTGACGGTAATTCAAACGTGCTTCGCAGCGGATACAGCGAACGATAAAAATCGTTTAACAAGGCGCGAACAATCTCGTTCTCGGAACGTCGAATAGGGTCGATGTCATCGTTCAAGCAGATAAACTTCCTGAAAGCGTTAATACACATGTAAATCGTTCCTATGTATGCGAATCGTTCCTATTATATATGTATTTAAGAGAAATGAAAAATATATAGTATATATGTATGACATACTTCGGATCTCTCCGAATTTCATCGAGCAATTGTACTGTTAAGGAAACATTGCTGGTCAGCATCTCGAAAATTTCATTCTTGCCAGCCTTTATTATTTCATGCGGATAGCGACTACCTTTGCCGAATTTTAATTGCATCCTTCTAGAAACTGATTCGCAGTTCAATATCAATTCTTTCGAAACCACTGGCTGTAAAAAAAAAAAACAAAGAAATTGCAATTTTCCAAATCTTATTTTAAATCCGCACAAACTATTATTAGAGTGCACCTCGTACTTACGAGAGTGGAGTCCAGATACCTCTCTCCGGGTGGAACGTCAATGATATCCGGCAGATTTATCCGACGCGAACAATTCATTATCTGACTTTCAAATTCCATGACTAGATTATAATCGAGTGGCAACGGGTATAATCTCGATAAAAGCGTCCTTATTTCTCTGTCCGACCAAGTGCTAAGGACATCGGCCGATTTGTAACGTCATTACAATTACAATTTGGTGTAATCATAGGTGGGCACGTTGTTTCTTACCGTGATTTGTCAGTGTCAAACATGTCGAATATCTCCCCGACGGGCACTCTCCGTTTCTCGCTTGATAAAAAGTAGAAGTAAGAAAATGCAAATTGCATATCCTCGCGATCTCTCACTTTGTGACTAGACGTTTTCTTAAATTCAAGATCAAACTTCTCCTGCATACTATTTACGATCCACTTGTCTACCAAGTGCGGCATATGCGCTGGCACTCGCCTCCGTTCGAGGCCGTAACCGGCGTTGTATATCTTATTAACGTATAACAAAGACTCCGCGTAAGTGTCCAATCCTCGTGCATTGCGTTTCCACTGATTCGGATACGCGAATTTATCGAACTTAACAGAATTGTTGGACTGCGCCGCATTCATGATATTGCGATAACGTTTTAATCGTTTGATACGATATGCAGTTTTGCTCGAGGCATTTACGTGTAAAAGTTTGGAATATATTGTCTTCAAATTTCTTATAGATTTATACTTTTCTCCATCGTTAATTTTTATGCTTCGCGCTTGTAATTCCTTAGAACTGCTATTTCCGAGATTGTGAAACGTTTTGATTGACGTAGAAGTAGTACTGAAATTATACAAATGTAATGTTTGAACTGTGGACATTAGCATGTCTTCTGGCAATGAACGGATGACGTTTCTATTGCGTAAGATGCTTAACAGTCTCAGCTCGTTATTATTTTCACGAGAATCTTGTAGATACTTGTACGGATAGTCATCTTCCTCTTCCATCATCTCACTATCTATAGGGACATCAGTCGCTTGGCAATCTCCACCTATGCAATCCATCGAAATACACAACATTCTTTCATATAACGTATAAAAATACATACTTGTACATATCGTCATTAGAAAAAGATAATTTAGATAATTACCGTCAAATTCGCACAACGTCGTATTACAAGCGTGATCGCACGATCCATCGCCGACCCATGCCCACGGACAGATCTCGGAGCAATCGGGAACCCACCACGCCAGATATACCTTTTGTCCGCCCGCTTGAGTTATAAAGTCCTCCGGCCATATTTCGGCACCTAACATTACGTCGTCGTTAAAATACAAGAACTTATCGGAGACTCCAGGTATTCTGGAAGAAGAAAGACATTGTTGCTTATCTGTACGCCCCTGCTGTGTTCATGTGCACATAATGTATTTCATATTTCCAAGCACCTATGAATATGACTTTCAATAGCAGGACTAGAAAAGGTTGGTAAATCACTTTTATTCAGAAAAATGTCTTCGTGAGTGACCAAAGTCACCCGAGGATTGTCCATATCGAGCCAGCTCGGTATTTGGCCGTTGGTAACGATGTAAACGTGCCTCACCCAGGGTGCATACATCTCCAATGATCGCAACGAATAGCGCAGCTCGTCTTTGTCACTGAATCTCGAAGCTGCGGCACTGAGATCCACAACTGGCACATGTTTCTGAAGACTTTCTAAAAATAGCGAATCAGATCCGTTCACCCAGGTGTAAACCACGTCTATGGGGACGTGCTGGCACAATTTGTTTTGGAAAGATTTTCCCAGGATATTGTCGTTGAAGGAGTGAAAGACCGCTTCATATTTTTCCTTGCTCCATATCAACCATACCTGCGCAACAAAGTCAATTGAAGTCTATCAAAGTTTCAACTTGTTAGATATTCCAATATGTAAAATATTATGTTGATAATGTACATGATGAACGAAACATTTCACGTTGTTGCCTGAACGTATTTATGATACGACGTGCATAAAGAAAATAAATGTTGTATTCTAACCTCTCCAAAGTGTACTATGCCGATGAATATGCAAGTAAACGCCACCAATATCACGAGCAATGAGTACTTATACGAGAGCAAGTCGTAACACCGTCGCTGTATCAACTTCCATGTGCTCATTATATTGATAAAGACGTTAGATGCAATTAGCATCGCTAGGTTCAATTGAAGGGTGAGACTGTGAGACCATGCGGTGCTGCGCACCGTGTGGGTACTGTGGGTGTGGGCATACTGGGGCACTGTGCTGGGGCACTGTGGACCCACAAATATTTAAAAATAATGAACAAATATTTCGTTCACATATCTAACCTGATTTATCTTTAACGAAATTCTGCTTTTTTGCAGCTTAAGACACAATAAATATATTACTTAGATCCATTTTCTTGTCCATTTTGTTAATTTCTTAAACTTAATACAGTTGGAAAAAAATAAAAATTATTCTTGGATATATTTTTTTATATATATTCAAGAATTTTTTTAAATTAAACAATTTTTTTGAATTAATTACTCAACGCCAAAAGAGAAAGATAGAACGACGTTTGTTTCGACTTGTGTCTCTTGCTGGAAAGCTCCTTAATTAAAATTAAAGAAACAACTTTTTTATTTTTTACATGACTGATATGCATGATGATGATCGAAATAAAATATTCAAAAATTTATAGTTGAATATATAGGGTAAACTCGGGTAAGATGGCCATAGAGGAAAGATGGTCAACCTATGTTCTTTCAATCTAGCTCATCATGAAACATCAAATGAACATGTGTTGAACAACTCTTATTATTTTTTTATACTTTGACGATCATTATAGACATTTCATCATTATGTACATTTCAACTTTTATGTTATTTCTTACCAGAGTATATTTGCTTAATTTTAACGATATTTGAAGGATTTCGAAAGATGTGCGTTTGAACTATTGAAATATTCCACAAGAACTATTCATTAAACTATTATTTATTACTAACATACATAAAATTTATGATACACGCCCGAATAAACGAAACAGTCAGATGTTAATTACAAATATGTTTTATGTAATTACAAGTCTTGTACAAGTTTGATACATGATAACAATATACAATATACACATTAAAGTATATATAAAACATAGTTTTAGTAGTAGACATTACTTAATAAGGATGTATTCCATTGTCTATGCTTACCTACGATATGTTATTACGCGCAAAGAAAAGTAATTTAGGTACTTACTTGAAAGCTTATACGCTCAGGAATATGCTTATGTATATGCGTTGAATATTCGTCTCGAGAATTAACAAAAATCATTACGTTATATTTATACAATGCCATATTTTGCGAACGAATAAAGTCTTTTTTCAACCAACAATGATTTGTCTACTAACGCAATACATAAACTACATACGAAAGATCGATATTTCTAAAATATCTCGTACATTAATATTCCACATAGAAATCAAACTACAAACATATATATGTGAAATGCAAATGTATTCATATTTATTCGCCATATTGTAGATATACATACGATGCATTTATGTCCCCGTATTTTTTGAGAAAATTTGCTTAGTTTCTCGTGCATGAACCAATTTGTTAGCATAATTAGTTGATACGAATTATAACAAAGCTCGTAATAGCTGTATCATAGATGTCTATAATTCCTCGTTCGGTTTCGCACAAAAGGATAAACGATAATCATTTCTCACGTAACATGAGCATTTAAAAAATATTTCAGCTTTTTCATTCTTACTACGAACAAATTTATTCGTTCCTGAGGGTAATACGAATATTGGTTTAATACAATTTATTGGTTTAATTATGGCAATTAGAATATCTGATGGATTAGCAAAAATAATTTTCTTTTTGATATTGATAATAATTAATAAGGCAATAGTGTAGGTCTTCTCTTTTTTTTTTTTAATATATCGTTTTAGTATATTTGATTAAAGTCAGTCTTCGCAAGTAACGATATTATATTTAAGAACTTCGATTATTCGTATTGTACTATGCGTAGTTTAGCTCGCATATGCATATGTAACATGACACGCTCGATACATTTGGTCTGTGAGCGCTCGGAGATGTGATTTTTATCTTACAATTAATATTTTAACATTATAAGGGTCGGATCGCAACAATTTAAATACAAAACATAGTGATTATTCAGTATATGATGAAGAATCTACATTTTTCTGATATATACCATTAAAAATACTTTGCATTTAATTGTTTAAAATACACATTACTATGTTTTGATTGATGCAATAACATGGTAACTATTGGCAGAAGAGATGTTTCGATGCGGATTTACAAAGAAGCGTTTGCTCAAAGTCCTTGTCTCTAAATTCTATCATCTCGAACACGTACTCTGAATATATTGAACAGCTGAAAATCGACACGTATTTTTTTTTTGTATATACGTGTCAATCATACGTTAGGAGGTCGAAACAGCTCTGCGAAGCTAATTTAATATTGCGGAAAGTGTGAAGTTACATATATACGAAGAAAAAGGTCTTAAACAAAAGTTCTATAATATCCGTAGGATCCTGCATCCGAATATTTTTCAAAATACCTCCTCTCCCTCTCGTTAATATTTGATTTAATTAGTATATTAGTACTTGATAAAGATCTTAGTCTTCGAGAGATAAAGCGTGAGTCATGTCTCTTTCTCATGATATTTCTTTTCACGATATTTCTGCGGCGTTTCTCGGATCGCGCGTGTCGCGATTCAGATTCTCGATGGCATCACCGACCGGCGCATTTGATTAATCCTAATAACGCGAATATACTGAGTATTTTGGTAAACTTATGCATCCAGTACAACCTGCAACACAATAGACTTATTTCTTCCGCACACAGCACATTGCAAATTTAAAAGTTGCAAGATAAAAATGAAATTGGAAGACTTACCTCGATAATCGATTTCGGGCGTTGTTTAACGTATCTAGATTGTCCTTCAAGATATATTTTCGGATTCCTAACATGTACTGATGCAAGTACATGTCCCAATCCACGTTTCTAATATCTACATCAAACTTATCACAATCTTCCGACGCTCTTACAAATTTCACCAGTTTCGTCATGTTACCCGAATAAAATTTCCACTCGTTCATCGCGAAGAACTCCCCGGTTTTGGCGGCGCGCTCGAACCGTTTGGCCACCTTCACCATCCTGAAAGGAAACAACGCGCGTTATATTTATCGTTATAAATAAAATTGCCACGCGGTGAAACCGAGGGGAGATACTTACATGGGTTTGCAACCTTGAACCCTCAGTATAAGATCTACGATAAATGCAGGCAAAAAGTGCAACGTGGCCACTATGATAGAGTGAATAAATTTGTTTGTCCTAAATGTGAAACCTGGATACCACATCACGTATTTCGATGGAGATTCTATGGCGTGTTTCCTCACGAGGTATCCAAATTCGCCCCATCTACAAGAATCATGTATATGCATATACGTATACAAGATGATAACACTATTCAACAAAAATAAAAATGTACAAAAATGAGAGTAATTATACGTTTTATATAATTTATTAACTTTTTGACATATCAGATTATTATTTAGCAATCTGAAAAACTATTAAGTTGCGCGGGTGCTCGCACACATGCATTTATTTAAATGTTTTGTTATGTCTATTGCTGCATATACTCACGTAATCGGATTTACTGTACTGCTGGTACAATTGTAAATCTTTATCGTGTCAGTACGTTGCATGGCATTGTGCCAAGATGCGCAGATCAATGTATTGACAACAAAATCGACAGGTACAACGTCTACCACTAATTTTGCGTTACACACGATACTTCTAACGGTACCTCTTCCGATCTCCGTCATTATACCTATTAAATGTAAACAATTAAATGTGACACATGTATGCATTTTTTAAGTGTCCATTATAGCAACAAACATTGTAAATAATCAATTATATTTATTGGATTTTTCCGGTAACTTTCAGTAAAACAAGTACAGTCTCTTCTCTCTATTATTCCTATCGTCGTTCAATATTTTACAGTAAAATGCTTATTCTTTCTTTAATAACCCGAGAAAAAATTTTTCATATATGTATATATAATTATATATAAAACATATGTTCATATATGTATATGTTTTCTTTCTCTTGTATAATCTTTACGATTCATACAATTTATACGATTGTTTAAAATTACGATTGTACCTGTAATACCGCAAGTATTATCTATCCATCCTGGAAATGGCTCTTGGTACGCGGCACAGACTATACTCGGTCGTACAATTGCGATCGGTAGGCCGCTTCCCTTAGACATTACGATCTGTTCCGCCAATCCTTTGGTCAACGTATACGTATTCGGATGTTTGCCAATCAGTCTCTTCTCTATTATTCCTATCGTCTCGTCGTCCAAATTTTCACACATATCGACTACCGTGTACGGCCTCACCTCCGTGCTGTAACATTAGCAATATACGATTAAGCACCTTTTAGCTCTATAATTTGCGTTAGAATTTAGGACAGAATTTTATTCTTAATTTTATATATGTATGTATTTTAGTATAAATTTTATATATACAGGGTGTCCCATTTTGAAAGATCCACACAAATATCTCAGAAACTTTGCGTTATCTTGAAAAATGTTTTAAATAAAAGTTGTAGGATTTTAAGAGGGCCATTAGGTGAATTACCTAGATTTTGGGTCTGGGGCCCTACTGGACCCAATATGGGCTCCTACTACTAAAATCCTACAACTTTTATTTGAAACATTTTTTTAAGATAACGCAAAGTTTCTGAGATATTTGTGTGGATCTTTTAAAATAAGACACCCTGTATGTACTTATATTCTAACTTTTTGAATGTACGTTTTTCAAGTCGTATCAAGTTTATTTTAGACAATTTATAATTCGAGTCAGAATTCAGAATACAATTTTATTCATATTTTTACGTGTCTCGTCAAGTCGATTCTTTAAATGTTTTTCGTATTACAGGACACACGTAAAATTGTAAATAAAATTTTGTTATTGCAGATAATCAAAAATTATGATAGATTAATTGGATAAAAATTATAAAACATTATAAGTTAATATTAATTAGGTATATTAATAATGACATTAATTAATATAGATTAATAGATAATTTAGAGCGAGCATTTCTTTAGGAGCATTATTTTTTAATACATTTTTACCATTTTGAATCCTAAACTGAACTGGATTACATAAAATGCAATTCGTATCATGTAAAATAAAAAAATGTACCCGCAATTTAAATATGTATCGTAGGGGAAGATTGCAAGCAAGAAATAGCTACTTTATTGAATGTACTTATAATCTAGTCATTAGATTCCCCTTCTGTTCCGCTTATTATGTTCTTGAAGAAAAACGCTTTGCTCGTATCTATGATCCGTATATTTCCATTCTTAACAGTTTAATGTATATAAACGGGATAATTTAATGCATTATCGGCGACAAACCGATTCATTATTCTTATCACTGCATTTATTTGTCAAAATATACCGATCATCCAATAACATATTATTGTAAATATCATTTATAATAATATATTATCGCTCGACAATGTATGTCAATTTTATCTACCACGGGCGGTAGATAAAGTGTTAACAGTAACGCAGAAGGAAGTATTTCCGCGACGAAAATAATTTGATTGAGGTGATCTTGAAGATCTACCCTCGAGATGAAAACGGTAGCGCGTTATCCGTGCGGCTGTCACGCGTGCTTAACTGGCAGCTTACATGTATATCGATTCTTCAATATCCCGTCGGTCGGCATTACTGTAGGCCGTGCTGACGTGAATGACGCTAATAAGGTTTGTCATGCGCCTGCACAAGTCCAACATACGATCGGTGCCCATCGTGTTCAGATTAACGGCTATCTTCAGCGACTCGTTAAAGCGCACGGTGGCCGCGCTATGGAACACGATATTAACTCGCTGTATCAACATATCTCTGTCTTCAGGCTGGAGCCCCAGCTCCGGCAGGCCTACGTCACCTTTCACAGGGAAGATTTTGTTCAAGGTGCCCGGAAACTCCGATCGTATCCTGTCGAAAACCTGTCACAGAGAAAGAGGCACGTTACCGCTTCGTTTCGTAAGAAGGGTGCGAGGAACGCGCGGATAAATATTGAACACAAAATTTTATATACTTATATAGAAATATATTATATATGTTGATTTATACTCATACACGTATATTATTTATATATTAAATAACATAATAAAATAAAATAAAAATATTATGTATTTTTATATATTAGACATATATAAAAATAAATATAATAAATAGCATTGTATATTATTTACAATAATTGTTATATTTATATGTAATATCGAAAGTAATTACGGTTCAACATTAATATAATTTGAGATAATCGTGAGAATGGCGACAATCGCGACCTTTCGTCGTGCATTTCGATGACAACTTGACACTTTAGACATAAAGCTACGAATAAAATATTTAATACGTCCTACACGAGGTTGTGCGAAATCGATATTACATTAATTTAACAAGTGTGTACGCTATTACGTCCATAAGAAATTTGGCGTGAATACGCTGCGATGAAGTTACAGAGGGATAAGATAAACTTCTACACTCAAAAAAATGATTTTGCACCTATATAGCAAAAATTTTCTGGGTGCAAAAAATTAGCTAAGGTAGATAAATGATTAGCAAATACTGTGATATCGCTTATGTTTTACACTTAAGGACGTTCACCGGTCCTTATACTACAGAAAATCGATTTTCTATAGATATTTTTGAAACTGTGAATATACATTAATTTAGGTGCTTTATGCGTGGTATAAATTTTAGTACCTCTTGCGGTATAAACATCGAGATACTGAGCCTCAAAGTTTCAACTTTTACTAAATTTTGGTAAAAATTGAAACTTTGAGGCTCAGTATCTCGATTTTTATACCGCAAGAGGTACTGAAATTCATACCACGCATAAAGCACACCTAAATTAACGTATATTCACAGTTGCAAGAAACCTATAAAATTTCGATTTTCTCTAGTATAAGAACCGGTGAACGTCCTTAATCAATCTATATGACAGAGACATAATTTATACCTGAACTGTTGTGAAATTTAGAAAGAAAGTTTCTCTGTCGCCTATCCATGTTAAAGTCACTGTATAATAATCATATTTGTTATAAAGTTTGACTGTGATAGACGTACAAAGTAAACATAAAAATTTTCGTTTTAAACGAGTTTAATTCTCGTATGGTCTTCAACGCATAAATATGTATGTTATGGCGAGTAGTGGGAAAGTGCTTTAATTTAAAGGCCATAGAAATTCTCGCGTGCGCCCTTTATGTCACGCGATATAGGTCTATGTTAGCTCAATTAGCTCGATTTAAAGCAGTTCAATTATTCCGATATTTCCGACAATAATAGACTCGAATAATATTTTCCTATTTGGCTAACAGAAAAAATTTGTTTATGCATAACTGAGCTCTAAATTCCATATACGCGGGAGTGCATATATTATACATATATATATAGGTATATATACGAACGGGATTGTTCAGTAGTTCTTGAAAACGTTGCTCGACGGACTGGTCCTTTTTTGGACGGATCAGAACGAAAATTGTGGCCACTTGGGGACACGAGCGCAGCAGCTTTTCCAGAAGAGCTTTTCCTAAGAAGCCGGTGGCGCCGGTTAAAAGGATCACCGTCTCGGCGAAGAACGCGTCGATCGAACCTCCCCTCGGGTGAACTTCGTCATGTGCGTGCCCCGAATTAGTTTGTGCGTTCGTCGTACCCATCTTGATATCTGTTTCGAGCTCTACACAACTGTAAAAATTCATATTAGATCATCACATCAATAATACGTCGTTAAAACATATTTAGACGTTAACTTGTTAACTTGTTAACTAGGTGATTTCTTAATTAAATCAATCGACGGAAGGAGATTTCGCTGAAATTTTTGAAACTATGGGAAAACGGCGGAACTAAAATTTAAATAAGATTTTCGTGCACGTATAATCGTTACTTATATCTCGTGCATTCCGAAGTGTGATATTTCGAGCGAAATTATAATTTGCGCGGCACTTTTTGCGCACGTGTAATCATTATTCATGCATTAATTATATAGTGCTTGTATATATCCTTGACCCGAGAACATCATAACTTCTACTGCATATCTCGAATCGATATAGCCGTGTGGTGACGGTCATCAACCGACGTCGGAAAAAGCTCTTTATTAATATTTCACGCGGGAATATAGTTTCGCGGCTATAGCTGTGGCGAAATGTTATGTATGTCGCTCACGAGCTCCACTTTGCTTCATGACGTCACTTTACAAACCCTGACTGGATATCAGTAGTGAGAATAATATTATTTTTTACTGCCAAGCGGAATAAAAAAATTACGCCCTTAGGCCAAGGGTGTTTTTTGATCACTTGCTGTATTTTATTGCCGACTCGGATACAGTTTTGAAAAGGTCCACCCTTCAATTTTCATGAAATTCGTTGAAATGATCCCAAATACTGCTAAATAATCTTATCTAAAAGGTTTTTTGGCACAATTCAAATTTAACCGAGATGCCCGCTATGCCGGATGGAAAGTATCAATTTTCTTCCCTAGGGAGGAAAGTGGTTATACTTTCCGCCCGCTATGCCGCCCTGGCGTGAAATTGGCCACTTTCGCCCCTCTCTACAGGCATGGAAGTCAAACTTTCCGTGGAGGTGTTGTGAAAAAACATTTTTTGGACAAAAGTTGTTTAAATTAATTAGTAGACAATTTAATAAAAAATGGAGGTTTTCACTCTTAAATTTAACTTGGGCTCTGCTAGGTCCAACACAGGTCCTGGACCCAAAGTTTAATACTAATAAGATCGTCTTGGCCTTGTTTAAACCTTCCAATTTTTATCTGAAACATTTTTCCAATAAACTAATACTGTCGGAGATAATTGGCCGTTCCGGAACTTTTGGTACGCACGTATATATTACATAGATTATAAATTTTGTACAAATCGGACACAAATTTTTGAATAAAATATACGTGTATACATTAAATATTCTCTCATTGATCGAATAGTCGTCTTTTGAAACGCTGTGTGACTCGTGGCACAATTAACAGCGGGTGGTTCTATCGAGGTCGAGTTTACGTTGAATGCTTATCGCTCTGACCATTACTCCGCCCGATGCGAGAAGATAATTCACCGCGAGACTCTATACGGTCTGGAGATATAATTACAAACAGTGTCTCAAGATACAATTGCAATCTCGTGGACTCTTATCACCGACTGTCCGAGACAGAACACTGACCTAACTCACGCTCGATGGGACACGAAACGCGAGACGAAGTGGGAATTAAGAAATACTGTGACTCGCGCGTTTATATTGCGGATTTACGATACATCTTAACAGAAGAAAACATTCAAACTATCTATATGTATATAATTGATTAAAATTAATTATTATATAATTAATTAAATATAAGTAATAAGAAATGGATTACAAACACAAGTTTAAGGCTCCTGAGTTTATAATCTTACTGACTAAAAGCGAAAAATGTAAAATTTTTGTTCTTATATTATAAAAGAAGATTAGCTCTCTCGCGTGCCATCATTCGCGTTAATACAAATTGATTAGATATAAAAATTTTGTTTTTCATTTGTAGATGATGTGTACTTTATATTCGCTTCTGATAGTTGATTTAATTATTTATTAATTCACTTCTGTTAATTAATTCATAGCAAAGTATGTTTTGGGTTACACTGTATTAACTGCTTATTTTTTTATTTGAAGATGGAAGAAAAAGTATCTCTAATTCAAAAGAATAAATCGTATTAGAACTAATGATGTTATCGCATGACTATAGTATAGACATGTGACTATTTATTGAAGTTTACTCGCTGTTCTTGAGGCACTTAGAATATCGAGAAACCTGCTTTTGCGCCAAGTTATGCGCGACAAACAGCGAAGGCGTATATCGACCATACATCGCTCTTCTCATGTTTATACCAGAACCATAAATGTGCTTTTATGATTAAAATAGAGACCCTCAAGTAAGAGTCTAGCCACTGATCGACTGTGTGCTGATTGGTGTTGACAAATCGTGGCAGAACGAATCCAAAATATAAAAAACGTCAAAACGAATCCAGCCTATGTTTATTATTTATAATTTGTCATACAAAACATGTGTTGTCGTGTGTCTCTAATATATAAACTCTGTATAGAGTGCATTATTTTTAAACGCAGCCACATCATTATTTGTTAAATTGGCCAGACTCTTAACTTGAGGGTCTCTAAACTCTAGACTGAAGAAAGAGAGGGCAATCAAAAATTAATTTATAGTTAAATTTAAATCTGAAATAAAAACTGACAAAAAATTTCCCAAAAAACGATCTCCAGAATTATTTGAAATTGTGAGTTTCCAAAATTTATAATAATCCAAATATATACGCGAGCCGACAAATTGAGAATACTTCAGATTATATCTCAATAATGCTCTTGAACCGATTCAACTCTTAATAGGTTCAGTCGATAACTAGGAGTTTTGATTACATAACATAAGTATCTTTATTTCTGCTCTGTATACTCTCTGTTAATAAAAAGTATTTTGCAGTAAGAAACTTGACATTATCATCGATGAGACATTATAAAAAACTTGATTATTATAATATATATATATAATTAAGAGATATAATGTATAATTTAAAAATTAAACGAACTTACCGTAAAGTTAAACTACAATTGTCTCGTCTAGATATATTGTAATAGCCTTCCAAGCTGTGTTAACCTCAACAAGAGGAAAACGCTACTACAATATATCCATTCGGACGAGACGTTGCATATAATAGATATAATAAAATCGTTATAAAATCTACATAATAAAATGATTAATATTCGATGCATTTGCAATAATTAATATTATATATAAGTGTTTTTACGTGATTGTATGATGTTATTCGGCACGATATTGATTGTTGTCGATAATTGCGAACGTATATGCACTTATTAAAATTCCGCGCAATTTCGCGTACAACGCACGTATACATATATATGTGCAGTCGACAAAATGAAATAGCTTCGAAGACCGGAGAACTGATAACACATTTATGTTTTTTAAAGCTTGAATTATCTTTAATGACCTTGTGTCATACATCACGGAATTTGTCTCGACACGACGTCTCGACTGTTAATAATACGTAAATAAAAATACATTCTATTTTTAAACGATTTAATTTTACATCCGGAATATATATGTTTGAAAAGTTATATCTCTCTAGTAAATGTCGTGTCATTAAGGCCAAACAGAGGAGGGAGGGACACTCTTACGACCCTCGGACCCTCTCCTTGTTACATTGAATTCGATATAACTGTTACAGCTCGCTATATCATTTATATGATTGTGTGGACGTTTTAACGAAGTCGAAAAAATTGGACAAACAAGAAAATTAGGTGGAAACTCAAACATAAACAAATAATAATTAATTTTTTATGATAATATTGGAGTCCCCCACAATTAAGCTAACTCGATGTTATCAACCAATTTTTGAATTCGTAGTTATAACTCGAAATTTATATAATCAAAATATCTCAAAAAATACTTTAAAAACTATCAGTAAAAATTGGACAAACAAGAAAAATAGGAAGTGCTTAGGAAATTATTAGAAAATATATTCTTGAAAAGATATTACGTCTTTTTTTTAATACTTTTTTTATTATCCCTTTTCACCGATAAAACTGATTTAAATATTTATATGAGTATAATAAAATTCTGGTTAATGCAGGATATAAAACTTTTCTAAACTAAACTTCTAACTAAAAAGTATAAAAAAACCATTATTTTTATATTAATTATATTTCTCAACAAGATTAAGTGGAAACTCAAACATAAATAATAATTGATTTTTTATGATTATAGGAGTTTCCCACGAGTTAACTCGATGTTAGCAACCAATTTTTGATTTCGCAGTTATAACTCGAAATTTATATAATCAAAATATCTAAAAAAAAAAAACTTTAAAAACTATATCAGTGTTTCGATAATGACCTTAATGGGATGTTTAATATGATGAACAAATAAGAAAGCTTTCGATATAAAAACTACGAAAGTCTAATCTCATGAAAAAAAAATCAAAGAAAGAAATAACAAAAAAGAAAACATATAGTAGAAAAGATATATGTGACAACACATTAATTTGATAAATAAATAGCTGCGAGAAATTTGAAATAAATAAAGTAAAGGGTGTGCATCAGTAAAATCGAAGAAAAGCAAAACGTGATACATTTTAAATGCACAAATAAAATTAAAGAAACAAGAATATACAAGTAGAAAAATATAAGATTAGACAAGAATCGAGACTTGCAAAGGTATTCAGAGACACAATCAGAGGTAAGGAAAACGCATATAGAAAAAATATGTGAAAGAATTGTTTCAAAATATTAAGACTTTCCGGATAGCCTTGATATTTTGTCGAGAATAGATTTTGAAAGTATAATATCTGTTGCAAATTTTGTCGATAGAATGCCAGCAGAAATATGACAGAAACTGCTAACAGAATATAATTGACAGATTGACTTCAGAAACTGAGAAAAATTTACTGTTTATTTGTAACCATAATTTAAATGAAGTATTCCATTTAAATGTTTACAAAATGACAGATTCTGCTCTTGATTTCTACCGACAATCTGCTGTGAGATTATATCGGTAGGCTTATCGGCAAAACACGAGTTTTAATGCCGACACAGATGATACCAGATCTGTTGCGATATCTGAGCAAATCTACTGTCGATCTGTGTCATACACTGCAGGCAGTTTGCTTACTGGGTTAGTAGTGGCACCGACTGACCTAATTGATCGCAAGATCAGAAATAAAAAATACATAAAGATGGTGAAGAAATTGCAAATTTAGATTTGCAATATTTATGATTTTAACACTTGTTTCTTAATATGTTAAAAATAACCAATACTGAACAAATTTTTTATGGTTTATCGTAATCGCTTTGTTGATTAGTTGATTCAAGTGGCCGTCGAGATAAGAACGCTGATATTATCGCTTTATAGTCAACAGAAGAAGAGTAATTTTATGAATTTGATATAATTAAAGTGGTGAAGAGAAACTTTTAATCTGTTAAAGTTTAATTAAGAATTACAGATCGTTTAAAATGGATTTAATAACGAGATTCATAGCTGTTTACATCTCCCCCCTCCCCGTTATTAATAATGGGATGTAAACGCAGCCGTGAATGAATATAGTCGATTTATATAAGTCACCAGGTATCTCAGCAGCATCAGTTAAAAGGCAGAGTTATAAATTAATTACAAAAAATCTCTTTTACGGTTGTGTGTTTGAATTTTGTAGAAATTTAGCAGATATACGCGCTGAAGTCATGCTTAAATGACTAAAAGAAGAAAACTGATGTGCACATTTATATATTTTTACAAATATATAATTTAAATAGGATATTATTCTCTTTTTGCAGTCCCGTTTGGTTTTATACTTATTTTGTATCAGGACAAGTGTCATCGCAATGATTGAGTATTTTATCAGTTTAACAAACGTTAAAAATTAATAATAATATATCTACAAATAATTTGATTTTTTTAAATTCTATATTAATATTTATTTCATTTAGAACAAATTCAATACTAATCAATTAGACATAACAATACACTAGAGTGTTTATTTTTTTATTTTTGCACAAGGGTAATCGCAAATTAAAATTAACAGAATTGAAGGCGGGAAATTGTCAACTTAAACAATATTATATGGTCATATATGAGAGTATATAATTATATATGGTCATATTGGTCATATATGAGCATATATAAGCATATAAGATCGCATGATATCATATAAGACATTATAAGAGATTTCTTCTTTTCCCGGGCAGCATTGCTGATAAGCCAATATCGAATTTATTTATTATAATGATTAAAATTATTCGCACTACATATATGTATATTTTTTTTTATCTTTTTAATATTTAAACTAAAATAAAAATCAAAATAGACGATCTTTGCAACGACAGTTGCTCTTGATACAAAACAAGCACCGCGTACATCGAACGTATGCCTGTCAAGCGAGTATCTCGAGCATCCTACATGTGTCATTCACGGGGACACCAATGGGCGAATAAGAATTAAAAAATAAACGTAATAGATCTGTAACTATTATGTTTATTTCTATCTCAACGCGGATTAAATCTTAATCTTAATCTAACTTATTGTTTCTACTTCTTGGAACAAGAAAAAGATTACAAATAAAGTTAAACCTGCAAGATTAAAGTTAATATGCATTGGTAGAAATGGACATTAGGTGATTGTCTAATATTGTAAAGTTCGAATACGCGCTCTATGTAAATCGTTCATGGGCGCGTATATACGCGCCCTTTATACAGAAAGAGTTAAAGCAAACGGTCTGGCCGCCGCGCCGCGCCGTGAAGTCGCACGTGGTTGTACAAGTTGGGGCGATCGATCGACCTATACGTTCCGAATATCGATCGGCCAGCCATACCAGAAGTTACACTTTTCGCCTATACGTATGTGCGTAAATATCAGTGTAAATCTTACTTGTTAAGATTAAAACTACTGCGACAGTCTTGAAGAACGACGTAGAAACTGCTTCGAACGACTGAAATAAGAAGCTCCGCGGATATCGCCCTTTTTCTTCTTTGTTTATTATTATTTATTATTTTTTTTTTTACAAAAATCAGAACTTTTTCTTATATTTGCGGATATAATTTCGCGCCTCATTCTCGTCATTTTTTCGCGAAAACTAATTCCGCCGATGACTTCCTTTTATCGCGTAATCGAACGCGTGCAATAATTACGTTCTCTAACGTCAATGACAAAGTAAACAATATATTTCGATCCGGTTTTACGACTCGGCGTGCCAAGTAACGAGAACATGCGCCACTGTCGTTTTCTTATCTTATCGCGCGCGGTTGTAAGTGTCAGCATAATGCAGCTAAATTCTCACAATCGAATTACCGCATGGCACAAGGACGCTGCGACGAATGGAATTCGCGACGGAATATTTCTTTTTAACGAGGAATTGTGCTGTTCTTTCGATCGAGAACATCGATAAAGCGTGTTACGAAAGTGGAGGGGAAGTAGAAATTGGATGATGATTGGCATGATTGCGGCGCGATAACAGAAGTTTCGAATAAAAGTGATAAGAGATAGTTTCGGGACAGTTTATTTTGCTAAACGGACATTAAAAATTACATAAAGCTTAACCGTTTGCCTAACAAATTTAACGCCAACTTTAAATAAAACGTTTTGATATCTCTTTTGATGTAGAAAGTAAAGAATGTATTGGATATTTTATGATTGTCAGTATATTTTAAAAACGATTTATTACATTTTGTGTGTGTGTGTTTTGAATTTTAATAATGTATGATATCGTTTGAAACACTTGCCCGGATGAGGTTCAGGTTTCCTTTCACGCAGGACAGGAAAAGTTTTCTTTCACATTAAAGGAAGGTATTCCAAATTGAGGTTTTGGGAACTGTTACGGAAACGAAAAAATACGTATTTTTACGTATTTCGAGTCGTAGAATCCGGAAATGGTCATAAAAATCACGCTTGTAACGGGAAAAACGTAGAAAATTGAAAAAAATGTGAAAAAACGGGAAATTGTTATACTGTCTAACAGGCGTTGCGTTTGCGCAGAACAAATCGTCTGCTATCTGTCTTACTTTATCGGCGAGCACACCGCTTAATTGGGAAGTTAGCTGGCTAACAATATGGAAGTATTACATATACATATATGTATCGCTTCTCAATTTGGAATACCCTTTTAAGGATCAAGATTTTAAATCTGTTAAATACCCAAACAGCACCGGTTCCAAATTTGAGACATAAGACTTTTAAACATTATATCATAAGACGTCTTAGAAATGTCTTACGTACTCGATTTTAGACATGCATGTTGTCTGGGTATATAACAACCCGATAACGAGAATAAAAAACAAAGCGAAACATGGTATAATATAAATACCGAATCATATAATAAGCATAATACTGTCAATTAATTTTAATAACTTAATTATTTAATTAATTTAAAAAAATATAGGAGAAAGTATATAAGAGCTTTATGTCGAGTCTAGCTCGACACTGGAGCTGCTGGAACGAAATATCGTATCGAATCCAACTCGACACAGATCGTCGAGTCTTAAGGATATTTTTTGTGGACACAAATATTTGCTAGTTCTAGATCTAGATAACAGATAATCGGAGTGCTCCGACATTAAAAGCGCATGAAAACCGTGGTGTAATACGGCTGCCTCTCTCTTTCTTTCTCTCTTTCGGTGCGCGACTGTCATAATGAAAAATCGTTCGCGAGACTGACACAAATTTTGACACGTGTGTCGACTCACTGTGTGCCGTGCGCGTTAACAGTTCCTGATGGGTGAGCCCGCTCGGCGCCTGGTTCCTCGACATACCCTCCATCCCTCTCCCTCTTTCTCTCTAGTTTCATTGGCGTGTCTTCCGGTCCGCATGCCCTGGAAGAGGCGGAGCACGTCCTCGCGCATCTCGACGATAGAATTTTCGACGCCGGCGGAAACGCGGGCGACATCGCGACAATTACCCTTTCGTGAATCACGACATCGGTGGCGCGAACTGGCTGTCGGCGTGTCGGACGCGAGATGAGATGCCGAAGATGCGGTTGCCACGCGAGAATCGCGCGCTGTCACCAGGAGTGACTTAGACTCACCGGGTGGCCGAAGAGGGAGGCTCGAAAGCTTTCCGAATCCTCGATCACGAGGTTCACCACGTCGCGTGGCGGCTATGCCGCGTCGCGCCGCGCCGTGCCGCGCCGCACCACCGTTCGTCGAGGGGCCTCGATCGACCACCTCGCCGCCTTGCACCGGAACGAACCGTCCTGAACAAAAGGAGTGAGACGCACTGGTCCGGACCTCGTCGCACCGTGTCACGTCGCACCGTGTCGCGGGCACTGCGCGACTGCTGCGCGTTGCATTACCACCGTACGTCGCCGTCGAGCCGCGAGACGGCCGGAAATCACGTGTGTATGTGTGTGGGGGGAATATAATGTCCGTGGCACACATGCGTAAGGGGGTTGCGCGCGAGGGGGTTGAGCGCAGTTGGAACTCTCCTGACTGAGGGCCGACCGAGGGTGAAAAATCGATCGGCTCGCACTCCGGGCTGCTTCGCCGTCGTTCGCACAGATTACGTTGCTCGCAGCGAATTTGCCGGCGTTTGGCTCCCGTGAGGCTCATTTATGTACATTTTTACGTCGTATGTATACCACCTTTTTGCAACTAACAGCTCTAGAAACGTTCGAGGAAAAGCGGAAGTGACAGACAACCTAAATCTAAGAGAATCAGAAAAATAAGAAAAATGAGACCAAGATGGAGGGGAGAGGGAGAAGAGAGAGAGAGAGAGAAGAGTTAAGGGAAGGTTCTCATATAGAGACCTAAAAAGTAGCTCAACTTTGGGAATTTTTTTCAAGCGAATTGTGAGGGATATCAATAAGAGGTTTTTTGCTATAAACTTATTGTACTCTTAGTATACAAAATAAATTTTTTTCGAGGGAAGAAGTGGGTGCTTTTGATGGGCAGTAGCAGGTCCTGTGTGGCGTACTTGGCTCAATGGCGGAGGCTGCAGCTCCTGTAAAGATCATCAGAAATCGAAATTTCAAAAACGTGGTGAAATTAGATGAAATTTGTTGGAGGCCAAACCAACATTTGGTTAAAAAAGTTGAAAAGTGACAAAATAGCTGTTGTTTGAATTTTGAGGTCGATTTTTCACTTTTTTCGTTTTTGACTCGTAAAAAATTGTAATTATTTAAAAGTTTCACTTTTTAGTGGTTTGGCCTCCAACAAATTTCATCCAGTTTTATCACGTTTTTGAAATTTCGATTTCTAATGATTTTTACAGAAGCTACAGCCTCCGCCATTGAGCCAAGCACGCCGCGCAGGACCTGCTACTGCTCACCAAAAGCACCCACTTTTTTCCTCGAAATTCCTCGAAAAAAATTTATTTTGTATACTAAGAGTACAATAAATTTATAGCAAAACACCTCCTATTGATATCCCTTACAATCCGCTTGAAAAAATTCCCAAAGTTGAGCTACTTTTTAGGTCTGTATGAGAACCTTCCCTTAATATACTATATACTTATATACTTATGTCTCTTTAAATATTGGAAAGGTAGCGCTTGGGCCACTACTTACGTGTATTTTAGACCAGTATAAAAAACTATTGTACAAAATTGTTTTAATATATTCAATGAAAAATATAAAATAATTATGCATTTCAATATGGTGTTAATTTCCGGAAGAAGAATGTTTAGATGGACAATAAGTGTTCTCAGACAGCACGCATGTCCAAAATCATAATACTGTCTGAGTTTTTAACATTTCATATTTTTAAAACATGTTGATAACAGAAAATTGCGCCAAATGATAAAAAGAGATATATGATAAATGTTATTCAATAATGCTTATCACTAGAGATGTCGCCAAGAATGTCCAAGGTCTAAGCACGGACGAAAGTGTCAAATAGGCTTGCTCCTACTGGCTGTACTTTATATTTTTCTAATAAAAAAAAGCACGGGCAAATAACCGATTTAAGGTATATAATAATACTAACGTATAACGATAGAGCAGATCGTTGTTAAGTGGAAAAAACGGCTGACGGTGGGTAGCATTCGGGTAAAAAACCGGTTCCAGATCAAATCCGCGTGGCTCCGAAGTCGTCTCGAAGAACTCATCCGATTCAATCCGCTTAACACTTTAGATACGCCGTCGCGCGTCGGCGTGTATTTAACGGAAGCTGTAATTGAATCTGCTGCAGGCAGCTGTTGTCGTAAACTCGATTGCAATTCGAGTCCTCGCTTTGTATTACGCTCGCGGAGTTATTTTCCGACAACATCCGCTCGCGTCCCATTTCCGTCATAGGAAAACGATTTTATTCTCTAGTCCGGCCCGGCCGGTGCGGTGTTTTGTAATCTACATCCGCGCGACAATCCGCACGATTCGATGAAACAACGGAGTGACTGAAATGGAAAATGTACTCAACGATTTCTCTCCGAGAGAGAGAGAAAGAGAGAAAAAAAAGAATCGTACTTCAAACTGTTGCATGCACAGGCGCGAGAAAATATCTGCCTGCATTCTCGCGGCTGCGAAATGCAGGCAGAAGAGGAGGGCGACCGAGGGGAGGAGAGCAGCACGGAGAGCGAAAGGGACAAACACTTTCGTTCGAATCTTTGCAACGAAAGTATTATGCAACGCTGGTCTGCCCCGCGCCAGGCAAAACGCGGAAGAACTTTCTTCGGCTGCATTTACGCAATGCACACGCACTTGCAGTCTCCTTACCTGCTTGGCGCCGGGCTCTCGCGTATAAACCGTCGTAAACCGCTGTAAACCGCGCCTCGACCCGTCTGTCGCCACCACCGTAACTTCCGCAACTGAGGCATGAACCTCATACGTACCTACTTTATAATATTCTTTTGCTCCGTTAAGAGAGATTGTCCCTACTTCTACGGTGTTTAATTCTCGAATCTGCCCAGTTGCACTCGCGCGTAATAACAACTTCGTAATCTTTGATACGTCGTAAATAACATGCACACAACGCGCGAAACATATATCGCTCAGTTGTTGTTTTACCCATTTTTACCTTACGATGTACAATTGTGCTCACGATCAGTATGACCTACTTACAATTAGAGTTCCGGAACTTATAAAATTTTGTTTAAATAAAAAGGTATTTATTTTATTATGTGATCGAAAAAGAAAGAGAATGTTATACGATAAAAAAAAGCGGTTTACTTTGCAATTGCATGTTCGAGAACGCAGGCAATTTCCGAGATGTTTTTTTTTTAAGGAAACGTCGATTTAAAATTTTTATTTTTGTTGTTAATACGGGAGTACGTCTAGATTTCTGTAAATCGTAAAAATAATTTCTTTTATTAAACAATGACGCATTGCAGAAGAAATTTATTTTGCTGACCGAAGGGATAACAGTTCTCGTAAGTATTTGAAACAAAAATTAATTCTAATGTTATTTCAATTTTTAGTAATTTGCCCATGGAATAGACTAGAATTATTGAAGAAAGGTACGCGCGCCGCGTATTTATAAAACAATATTGAAATTCCATTTAAGGGGGGAACCTGAATTAGAACGCTAAAAAATTATTGCGTTCGTCTACAATCATGCAACCTGGAATAGGATTGCGGCTCGATGCATCCACATGAATCATACTTTTTCCGGGTTTATGCTCGATATAGTATAATTTAAACTCCTTTATATACGACCATTGCCCACCGAGCTGCACGCACGCACACTTTCTTATGCATAGTTAACACAAACGCGCGACAATTTGTTACTATTTTAAACGAGATTTTACTAACGCTTTGACTATGGCAAGTACCTCTAGCTTGTAACTCGTATAACGTCGCTCCGCAGGAGAAGTTTTACCGCTTGAGTAATAAATAGGGTGGAATGCACCGACTTTGTAATTTTTTTGCAAAAGAATTGCACCATATTATATCCATCAATTGACGCGTCCGTATATAACTCTGTTGCTGTATTTAATTTATATAAACGTAACACGGTTTGTCGCAAATATTCTTCAAACACATAAACGCTTCTTTTTCTTCTTCTTTGAATTGAAATTTTGTATTTGACTTCAATAGGAAGTGACAGCTCTATGAGAGACAGCTTTGCTATTAAAAACAAATGTACAGCAAATACGTCTATAAAAGTAAAGCAATTAGATGCAGCATATTTTCTGCAGATTTGTCATCATGCTTTTAAGCAATAGTTTATTCTCATATCTTGCGCACGTATTGGGGAATCACCTTGTCCCGTTTTTACTCTTCAATTTATATGTCGACTTGATAGCAACTTGCCGGCAAAATTGAAGACATTTTGTTATCTGGGTCATTACCGATAAGAAATTTATGAGTAACCGCGTATCGTTAAAAACAACTCGAGCAAGGCTAGAATATGAATGTTTATCAATATAGGTAATATTTAATTGCGTACGAAATTCTCCGAGTGCTATGTTTTCTTTTAATCCTACGCCGCGAAATCGCGTCTCTTTACGCTCTGACAAAGGAGATCCTATCTCAACGTATTGGTCTTCGCGCATAAGACACAAATCACTTCCGGTATTGATTAAAGCAACGATTATATGATTATTAATCGCAACCTCTTTACTACATTTTGTCTAAGTTACCTGCGTCGCACAGTGTGTCCCAAATCCTAAAAACCTGGCCAAAAGCTAAATTTTCAAATATTTAATAGAGTATTTAAATATAAAATTATATATTATCTCAAATGTTTAGTGAACAAATTTATGCAATAATTATTTTATGAATATGTATTGCAACTTTGAAATACGTCCTCGAAGCCGGTCAATTTTATGCACGCGTTCCATACTATATTTTACAATTAACTATGACATCTGCTGTCTCCCACCATGATAATATTCTATAAATTTTTATGTCCTTTAAATGATAACTTCATAAAATCTTATTCTAACATATATTATAAAGAAAATGCAATATGCTGTGGTTATTAACATTTATAATACATTCTTTAAACAGTAAAAATTTTATGAACGGATGATACGAATAAAATTGTCAACATAAAAATAGTAAAGGTTTTTGGGAACGTTTTTCCAATCTCGGAAGGGTAGAGAAATAAAGATTGAATTGATTTGAATACCATTAAAAAAATATATAAATATAAAATATTTATTTTTTGTATTTAATAAAAAAACTTTTTGAAATTCTTGCATTTTTGCTATATATATCCCATAGAAATGGGATAGCTCCATCAATTTCTCCTTCAGTTCTAACATTGTTAGGTCACTTACTCCTCGCACTTATGATGTCTGTCCCGAATGTATCTCACGTAATTAACGCGCGGTATAGTCTCTCACGGCTGCACCTTCTCACAGTGACGTTTTTCGCGGTCTTT